GTTTGCCATTAAAAGCAAGTTCTCTGTAGCTCTTTCATGGAACAGGCTCAGCAGCTCACAGCAATCACAGCATGCAGAGTCCTTTGTTCATTCAACAAATATTTATTGTGCCAGGCACTGGGCGGGAACAGGAAAAAGATCCCAGGGACACATGGTAGAGAGACCTCTGATAAGATAAAACACACAAAAGGGCTTTTCCCCTTTGGATATAGTTTCTCCCTTATATTTCCCTTCAGTGCTATGGAGGAGGAGAGAATATAAAGGAAGCAGTGGGAACGCAACTGAGATTAATGGCACACAGTTTAAAGCGATGCTTCAATCAGGCTTATACTCCTAAGCCAACTAAATAGACTATTAGTGGCTGGAGAGAGAAACTCTTGCTGCTGAGAAAACCAAAGGCCCTTTAGGCGAAAAACTAAACTAATGTCTGTATGAACCAGACTAGAAGAGAGCTACCTCCATGTTAAGACTGAGGTTAAATTAGAATGGAGAAGTCTCCTCCAGATCTCACAATGAAATCAAGGTTAGTTTAAGATGTACATTTCAACTACTAGTTTTAGTAAGGAAATTCCAAATTGTACATTCAACTCATTTTCTCCTTTATAGCTACCTCTATTTATCAGTATAGAGAGCACTTGATAATCCTGAGTTCAACCTGTTTTAAAGTGGTCTATTTTGCCAACTGCTGAATGATAATCAAATTTTATAGTTTGGAATATGCACCTAAAATATCTTCTACCACAAGACAGCAGCGGACACAAATTCAACGTTGTTCTTCTAGGTTACGGATATTTATCCTGCTCATGCAGGTCTCATTTGAAAAGTAAAAATTGTACTGCTTGGGAGAATGTGAGTTATGTTCATGCGTTGTGTGTCTGGGGTATTTGGACCCATGCAAAATTAAGTGGGAAACAGGAAGCCCCTCCTGGAGAGATGGCATGCCTTATTCTAGGCACCTTCAGGCCATAGTGAAGGTTTGACGAAAGCTTGTTGATGGAAGTGCATTGTGCCTTGAATGTGCTCAGATGAATTGCTCAAAATGACAAAGCCTGGGCATTGATCCAGGGGCACACATCCTCTTTCTCACACCCTTTCCAGCTGGTAGCAGGAGATGAGCGACAGGATACGCTCATACTCTGAGGTAGGACCTGTCCTGTGTACCTTACACATCCCGTTAGTTCATTTAAGCCCCACAAGAAGTCTGAAAGGTGGATACAGTCAATAGATCCAACTACTAGCAGGGCAATTTAGGCACAGAGTGGTGAAGCCACTTGCCAATGAGGCACAGAGCCAGGATTCACACCCAGGCAGCCTGGCTCCTAGGCTCTTACTTCTGTGCTAGGCTAAATAATAATAGGTATCATTTATTTATACTATGATTTACTACTCTAACAGCAGCAGCTAACATTTCTTGGGCGCTCACTCTGTGCCAAGTGCTGTGCTTAGCAATGTACAGACTGTAAAATCCTCCCCATCGCCTTTCCAAGTGAGACCCAGCCTTACCTCCACTTATGACTACAGATCAGTGAGGTTCAGCGGCTGGCTTGAGGTCGCAGAGCAAGCCAGCTGGAAGGCTGGGATTGAAGAGCAGGTCTGGGTGACTCTGAAAACCACACCCACTGTCACTCACTATGCAGAGGACTCATGTCCCCAGCTCTCCCTTAACCTTCCTCATGGCGGGACCCCCTGAAAGGGCCGGCTTTTGCCCCTTAACTGGTATTCGTTTGAGTACCTCTGAATTAAATTAGCGGGAGCGACGTGGATCCTAAGAGGTAGCAGAGTCCCTGAATTTTAGTTTTGAAATACAGCTTTGTCCTATGAACTAGCAGACTGAGAAACTCTGCAGGTTAGAAAGCCAGGTGCCCCCAAATCAGCCTGGTTCAGCAAAACCCCAGACAGAAACCACCTGGTTTCACAAAGTTCTATTAATAACAGAGAACAAACAAGCAAGAAGAGAGCAAAAAGGAAATATTGACAATACAGCCAGCCCCCCAGAGCTGGTGTGGGGGGGTGGAGAGCGGCAGCCCATACACCTGCTACCCTCTCACTCTGTATCACCATCACACAGAAATGACCTTACTGCTTCAGGTCCCAGAAGCTCCTTCTGAGAAACGGGGCGGTAACGTAACGTCCCATCTATTTTATATTGTATTTTATACTGTCAATTTCTATACTATTATTTCTATTATTATTTACTATTCTATTATTAGTCTACTGAGAGAATTCAGATAAAATAAGCTAGTGGAAGTGCTCTGAGGAGCTCAACTTACAAATAAAAGATATTGTTTCTATCACATTTTACATAATACCATATAGATTTCTCTCTCTTTTTTTTTTGATTACGATACCATTGATTATATTCCCTATGCTCTTTAGTCCCTAAATCTACAGGTAGATTCATCTTGAAGAAAAATCACTTTACTCTCCTTCTCCCATGTCTGCTTGGACTATTTCCAGTCAATTTTACAGAAAATTCCATACCAGGTTATTTACAATCCCCATGTCACATTTTAAGATAAACTACATTTTGAAGAAAACATTGACTTCATTAGTTTAATCTCCATAAATAATAAATAATGATAAATCTTTCCTAATAATAAAAATGCTTTCTAAGATTTATCAATAGCCTAGTAGCAATAAGTTTGGGCTTTGGGCTTCTGGGATCAAATCCCAGATGTTTTTATTAGTGAAGTGACCTTGGGTAAGAGCTTGAATATCTCCCTGCCACATTTTTCTCACCCATAAAATGGGTACAACTGACCTAAATCAGGGTTTGTTATGATGATCAAACAAATGGACTAGTCACGCAGTTGATGTGCCTGACACATAGTTATCAACCAACCAATGTTATTGATTGTTATTATCTTAAAAAGAAAAAAACAAAAGGAACATATATTTTGCAAGGCCTTCTTTCACAAATGTTAGAGGTATCCTAAGCAAGTGTTCTGGCAAAAAAGAAAAAAGAAAAAGAAAAAGAAAAAAACTTCATATTAAAATAAATAAAATTCTTAAAAAGATGAGCTATGAACAAAATGATTTTCTTTTTCATATAATTTTTGAAAGTCTACAAAGCTTACAAAATAATAGTACATGCTGAGATTCATGGAAAAGATATCCAGGGAAATATGGGAAATACAATAAAAATGATTAAGCATATATATATATATATATATATGCTAAACAAAACTGTTCAAGTAGGTAACTGAGCCATCATTCCAAAGGCCCCAAAGTTTGTTCCAAGTATGTTCCAGCAACCAAGTGTAGGGGCCAAGACTGCGAGGTGGCAGCTAGTTCATGCAAGGTTAAGTACTGATTAAATTACTTTTCCTAGTACTAATTTCACAAACAGTTTGGAGAAATAAGTTTACTTGGAAATTGTGATACTGAACACTAATGACTGGAAAGCCAACTGCACGCTGAAAAAAAGACAGCAATGCTGATCCATGGAAATGACATGGATGTCTTTGACAACTTAGAATCTTATAGTTTGAAAGCACGGTCTTGGTGATCTAAATATCTAACACCTGCCAGAATTTTCCAAAAGGAGCTAAGAAAGTAAAAGAAAACAGCAACAATGGTAGACTCTTAATCATAGGAAACAAATTGAAGGTTGCTGGCGGGGAGGGGGCTAGGAGGATGGGGTAACTGGGGGACAGGCATTAAGGAGGGCATGTGGTGTAATGAGCACTGGATATTATATAAGACTGATGAATCACTGACCTCTACCTCTGAAACTAATAATACACTATATGTTAATTAATTGAATTTAAATAAAAATAAATAAAGAAAAAGAAAAAGAAAACAGCAACAAAACATACACACACAATCAGGTATACAAATGGAGGTGCTGATGGATCCCTTCCATTCAAATTCATGTGAGTCCAGGAGATGAGGGATTTTCTACACTTCAGTTTAGAAAGCAAGTGATGGGAGAAGCAACACATACGGGGCATTAAGTGGTGGGACAATACCAGCTCCAGGTGGTCATCACTATCAGACTAATACCTGAAATGCCTATCATCTCCGGGGTCTGACAACATACCACAGTCACTAAGCTAAATATTTAAGTACTTGACACATTTATTCTTTTAATTCCCACAATAGCACTAAACACCTAGGAGGTCGTACCATCACCACTCCTAGGTCATAAAAGAGGACACTGAGGTTGACAGAGGTGAGGTGACAGGGCTAGAATCAAACTTATCTGGCTCTTAACCATCATGTTACTTAATCTGACTCCCCAGTCCCACCTCCCCATGCATCAACCCACCCACCACACAGTAGGCTCTTTTGTGGGATAAATACCTATTTTCAACCTATTTGAAAGGCAGCCAGAGTTAAGGAGGGGGAGTCCTGCCCCTGTACTCCTTTCCCTAATGGCTGCTCTGGAAAAAAACAAGAGAGGTGGGATAGGAAAGAGACCACAGGAACAGCAGATCAGCTCAGAGACAGACCACTGGGGAGATCTGAGACCCAGCAACAGAATACTCCTGGACTACAAGGCATTCCTCCCTTCAAAGAGCTGAGAAATTATTCCTCTCAGACCATCCTGCTATCTGAAGTTCTCTCACTACTCATCTCTTGACCTGAACTTGAACTTCCCTGTACTTGACACTGCTTCTCCAGCCACTCGCAAGACTAAACCTCCGAGTTACACAACAGTGCTCAAAAGAGAAAATAGGCAGCTGCCTTACTTGAGGGCAAACATCAAGCTCCAACCTTTTGTTCTTATTTCTGGAGTTTTGTTAAATCGACTCAAATATAGAAAATATATATTTTCTATTTAAATAAATTCTTTATTCAGAATCTTACGAAATCGACTTGATTTCTGGCAAAGAGAAAAGCAAATGAGGGATCGAGTTTTCCCATATTAAAAGGAACAGTTATGTAACCATCCCACATGGAAGAGCCAGGCTGAAGTCAGAATGATAAAAGACTGAAATAGCCCTGCTCCTCTCCACAAGTTAAGATCACAGTGGGGGATTTCACGTGCGACATACTTCTCATACAGCCTCTGTCCCCTCATGAAGGCCTTCACTTCATTATCCAGAGGGAAGGTGCCATCATCCTTTCTAAAGCGGTAGAAGAGTTTGACGTCCTTGAACTCCTTATGCTCATCACACACTGAAACACAATATACACAGAGAGGCAAATAAGAAAAAAAAAATCTTATTTAATTCCTCAAATGATGTGAGAGGCTAATTAAGACTTGTTTTACTACCTAATTTCCGAAGCACACTAATCTATGCTTTAGTGCATGTATTTAGCACAATACCTGGAATCAAGTAAGTGCTCAGTAATATTAGCTATCATCATCATCATCATCACCATCATTATCTAGTAAAAGGGTCACAAAATTCAGTGCATCATTCATGCCACAAATTCTTCTTGAGCATACTGGGGTAGACATCAGCCTCAAAGAATGTGATGTCTAGTGAGATAAAGAGAAATGTCAACATGTAATTAACATATGGCATGAGGGGGCAATGAATGAGGTGAGGGGATACTGCAGTGGGAGACCAAAGAAGGAGTAACCAGTAACCCCAGTAACCTAGCTGCAGGGAACGGACACTTCTCTGAAGAGCTTGCGTGTAGGCAGAGACCTGAAGAATGGCTAGAAATTGGGCTAAAGTGAAGAGAAAGGGCATTCCAGCCCAAAAGGACATGTGGAAGGTCTTGGTCAGGGTTAAAGATTTCAAGGAGATGTGTTTATGAACGTTCATGGAACCACTGAGAGTAACAGAAAAACTTGGAAACCTCTTAGATGTTCATCAGCAGGAGAATGGGTAAACATACCATGGCGTAATTATATATGGCATACGTAGCAGTGGAAATGAGCAAACAAGAGATATGCCATCAACATGGATGAATCTCAGTGTGTTGATCAAGTTGTAAAAGAATAAACATGCATTTTTATAATGATTTAAAGCACTGGAAGCAATATGATACCTTGCTAAGAGATGCCTATACAGAAAGGAAAAAGTACAAAGAAGCAAATGGAAATAAACCCAAATGCCTCTTAGAGGAAGGAAGGGAATATCACTGGGGAGAGATGCACCGGAGACCAAGCATTTTATTTCCTAAATGGGTAGGTTCATATCTGGAATAGAAGACGTGGTCCTTGGTTTCCTCCCAAGTTACCTCAAATGTCGGTGGCTACTTCACTCACCATGATGAATGATGCCCCGGTCTGCTAACTTCTGCATGAGTTTGATTGCTGTCTCTCTGTCGGAAGCCTCTTTGTGCTCAATCAGCCAGTCAATCAGTTCTTTTGCGACAAAGCAGTTTGGGTAGGTTTTGAGATGATGTCGCCTATCTTTAATCACCTTTTCTTCATGCAGCCTGAGCCTGGAAAGAAAATTTGGCATCGCTTTAGGAATTTTAATGACAACACAAATCATTAAGCCAATCCCAGAGCTCAGGAACAAAGTGGAGTCTCTAAATGTATCAGAGTGCCATTCACATACCTGCATGTCAGTAGAGGGTTGTGACACTGTCAGAGCCCAGAGGCCCCAGAAATGATTCTACCCCCAGATCTAGAGATGATACAAGTCAATGGGAGGGGAAAACAACACTGGACAAGCTAGAGCTCTCCTGCCACTTGGAAGACTGAGAAAAGCTTTCTCGCCCCTCCTCTGATGAATGCCTTCTCTTTATCCCTCCACCGGTGGGCTTATGGCTTCAACCAAACAACAAACAAAAACTCTGAACACTTGCTGAAACCAGGTACTTTCTCTTTGTCACAGATTGCTCAAGGTCCACCACATCAGCATTCATGCATTTATGTAACAGATACCAATGAGTGTCTACCACCTGCCCATTACATATTTCAAGGCATTAGAGACCTAGGTGGGAAAGTAGCACAAAGATCCTGGCCTTTGCTTGTCCTGCTTTCAATAGGGGCAACAGCTAATCCTTCGGTGAGGCTTACTAGTTTCCAGGTGCTGATCAGAGCACATTCCATAGATGTTCGCAACAACCTCATCAAAAGTTATTATTACCATCTACACTTTTTTTTTTTTAACTTACAGTAGAGAGAACCTCAAAGAGATTAAGTGACTTGCCACACAGCTAACAAGCGATGAAAATTAAATTTGCACCTGATGATCTCACTTCAGAGTCTGACTTCCCAACTGCCACATCGTGCTGTCTCTAGCCAGGGAGGGATAAACAAAATATCCGGGAGAGATGGATTAAAGCTGTGGGACAATACAATTTATTTACAGGCTGATGGATTAGTATGGGGAAAAGTGGTTGACACAGAGCCTTCCCTTACTCCCTTCAGAGCTCGGTGACGTTTTTCCAAAGGAGTCTTAAACTTGCCTTTAAATTTTTTTTTTTTCCATTTGGTTTTTCTTCTTTTATCAGCCTGCATTTACTTTTTAATTCTTAAGGGTTTGAATTGGGTGAAACACGAGGTCAGCTTTCTTCCTGCTTTGCCCACGTGGTCCTGTGCTCCTAACCTCATATTCTCAACTTCATTGAGAAATGGGAGTACATGAGTAAATCACATAGTAAGTGTGTGAGTGAGGCAAGAGGCTACTTTCTTCCTCTGTAAAATGGAGGCAATTATGCTCACCCTATCCGTGGCCATGTTGAGATTGGGTGACATAATGTCTATTAAGAGCATTGGCACCCAGCACAGTGCCTGGCACAGAACAGGCCCTGACCTCCTTTCCTTTACTCCCTAAGGAAGGAACTAGACTGTACTCTTGCCGGCTTTTTGAACAGAGTTGACTTGATGAAATTTAATGGGTTTTGATATCCCAGGGGTTGTGAGTATAAGTTGGGAGCATACTGGGGCTCTGAAGCTTAGATCTCTTCCTTGCTAGACCACTGTTATAGGCTGAAGTATGTTCCCCTCAAATTCATATGCTGAGGCCCTAACCCCTGGTACTTCAGAATGTGACTATATTTGGAGATAGGCTCTTTTAAAAGGTAATTAAATTAAAATGAGGTCATGAGGGTGGCCCTAATCCAATATGACTAGTGTCCTGATAAGGAGCAGAGATTAGGACACACTCCTCTACAGAGAGAAGACCATGTGAGGATACATGGAGAAGGTGGCCACCTACAATCCAAGGAGCTGGGCCTCCAACAAACCAACCCTGCCAACACCTTGATCTCAGATTTCCAGCCCCCAGAACTGTGAGAAAGTACATTTCTGTTGTTCAAGCCACTCCGTCTGTGATACTCTGTAATGGCTGCCTGAGCTCACTAAGACAACCAGGAAGTGCTACAGCCTGGAGGCACCCGAATAGTCTGCAGATGAAATGCTCGGCTGGGACGTCAGCAGGGACAAGGGAGAGGAGGACAGAAATGAGAATCCCAATACCTGCAAACTGCAGAGAAAGAAAAAAATCATGTTCATTGCCTTCCTACTCTATGCTCAGTATTCTACCAAGCACCTTCGCATATGCTGACTTAACGTCTATGGCCGGAAGGTTGCATCCTCCCAAGTTCATATATCAAAATACTAAACCCTAAAATGTCCGTTGTGAGGGCAATCAGGAACACAAGACTAGGAATATAACACTGGGCTCTCGTCTTGACACTGCCGGTAATTCCAGAAGATCAAACTTCTGAACAATCCTCCCTGATAAAATGGGGATAATTATACCCATGGTGATTACTTCATCACACGGTCACAAAGTTCATTAATGAAGATAAGGCGAGCATTTGAGCCCTTCCTGTGCGCTAGGCACTGTTTTCACTGCTTTATTGACATCAATCCTCATGGCAGCTCCCTGACGCAGGTAATGTTAAAACCACAAGGCCAACGTAGAGTTGTAATTATTAATAAAAAATAAACGAAGCCTAATAAAAAACACGTTCCCATAGGCGTGCTAAAGTCTCACATTCTTCTGATTAATTCAGCGACAATGACACTGAGTAATTTGTTTAACATGCTCAGAGTGGCAGAATGAGAAACATTAATTCTTAGACGTGATGTCTGTCAGGAATCCAAGAATAATGAAGACCAATTTATTTAGAAGTTGAAACATGGAACAAGCTACCATATAATTTGGTGGAGGAGGTATATGTTATGAGCCAAAAGAGGAGTTTTACTTCCTATAAACTTTCCAACTTAAAAAAAATTATTAGGTAATATTTATCTTTAAATACTACAGTATAGAACCTTTCAATTCCTATCCTTTCATGAACCCATGCGTGTCGCTAATTCTTGAGCATTCTTTGATTCCCACCAATTCCCACCCTGCATGGAGGGGAGAAGCACTAGACACTCTCCCTTCAGCCCCACCAGGGCCTGGTATATTTCCATGTTTAGAAAACTGAGCAGTCATCCGATGGAGGGGAAAGAACTCTGGATCCCAGAGATGCTGATCGTTTTAGACACATTACTGCGGTTAAAAACGTTCAATAATGGTGCTAGCATCTTTTTTTTAATTTCATAGTCAGAAATACAGAATTCTAAAAATGACCATTAAGATTGTGCATCCTCGGGGGTGCCTGGGTGGCTCAGTCAGTTAAGTGTCTGCCTTCGGCTCAGGTCATGATCTCAGGGTCCTGGGATCGAGCCCTGCATTGGGCTTCCTGCTCAGCAGTGAGTCTGCTTCTCTCTCTCTCTCTCTCTCTCTCTCCCTCTGACCCTCCCCACCACTCAGTCTCTCTCTTTCTCTTTCAAGTAAATAAAGAAATCTTAAAAAAAATTTGTTTTAAATTGTGCTTCCCCGAAAAACTATCCCAATAAAAAGATAAGAATTTTCACATTGCAAACACATAACCAAGTGTTTCTGCCTAGCACTGTGGGCACTTAATATTTGCTGAACAAATGAATGTCCAAGGACACTAAGAAATGATGCTATTTTCAAAAAGGTAAGGAGGCTTCTCACTAACTTAATAGGAATCCCCACAACTTAGTAACCATCTATTACCATCTATCCTGCCTGGGGTGGATAGATGGAATTTAATCTAGGTCTTTTTACAAAACTATTTATGCTTTCCATTCCAGGGTAGTCAATTTCCAAAATTTTAATCCCTGTTGCGTATGAATGGGTGTTTTTCAAAAAATTATTTCCTTTTACTTGAACTAAACTTACCCCTTACATGTTTTCATTAATACACTAAAATGCACGGAGATTTCCAAAAAGAGAATAGAGTAAGGAATATTTCAAAGTCTTACAGAAAAATAGACATTTTGAGTAGCTAAGCCTCTCATGGAATATCAAGACTCCAGAAAATGCTGAGCCAGGGGCAAAAAGCCACACTTTTAAACATGGCATATTGCCTGGACACATCAGTCACATTTTCTGCCTTGTCCAACACCCCCTTTGATTTAAAACTGCCTTCTACACCTTATCCACCCCAGGCAGGGTTCACTACTCTGGGCCTGTTTTCTTTCCATGTGGGGCAGTGCCTGACTGAAAGAGCCCTTGACCTATGGTGGCCCCTGCACATACATGCCCATGGGCTGTTCAATGAGACCAGAGGCACGAGATCTTACCCAACTCAAGGGACATAATCAGCTAAAGCCAAGCAGAATGGGTCCCTCCAAGATTTAAACAAGAGCTGAAGTTTTCAAACTCTCTTTGTGCCATGGAACACTTTCTTCAAATGGAACTCACCTCATTGTCAATGTGTAAAACAGAGCAATGTGGGCTGTTCTAGCTAAAAGGCTGCCAAGTCCAGAGTACTTCCTGGTTTTCCCATTTGGTTCTCCCACGTACACCCTCCGTATCTCCGAGACTATCTCCATGGAATTCCTAGAGCAAAGGTGAATAATCCCCATGACTAGAAGATGCTGAGGGAAATGGCCAACCAGGAATGAGAGGGGAGGGGGGAGGCCAGTACAGTGAAGCTAGGAGGTGAGGAGAAAGAGGTTGCAAAATGAGGGACAGCAAGAGAGGCCTGTCCCTGGAGTGCCTTGGTTCCTTGGGTTTTCCAGTTCTTCCACGCTATGCCCGCTATAACCAGAACAGTACCAATCCCTTCAGGTGGCTGAGGAAGCCTCAATTCTCTGAATCCAAAAGAACCGCACCTACTCAGGCTCTAAGGAGGCCTTCCAAACTTCCTCACCTCTTTCTCACCTCCCAACCACAAACACACCCACCTTGAAGTCTGGACACACTGGACTCTTCCTCATACCCTGTGCATGCCATCACCTCCCATACCTCTGCTCAAGACAGAGACCCTCCTTCTGCCTTCAATAATTCAAAAAATTGTCTTTGCTCTTCAGCTTACAAGACACCTCTTCTGTGAACATTCCCCGAGCCTTCAAAAGCCAGAGCACCTTCTTTCCTCTCTTCTCCCACGCTATTTTAGTGCCACAAGTAAAACATTCATCCCACTGTATTACAGTCAGATGAGGAACAGGATATTAAGGGAGA